ATTGGAAATAGCTATTATATAATAAAAATACAATAAGCAATGGAAACGTGAAATTTGGAAGTTTTTCAACATTTATTGTAACAGCAGTATACTCATAGTTGCAAACAATGAGCAGGAAAAAAAAAGTTAAAATGCATTATGTTATAAACCTTCTGAAAATGAAGTTGTGTTCTCTGCAAGAAAATCATACAACTGTCCCAAAGCAGCGATATAGACAGTCGATACAAACTTCCTTAGAACAGTATTTACTGTCTCCCAAATTCTGTGAGTTTTTGACCCTTTTTCTGACTGGGGAACTCAACATGGTATGTCAGCTGCGAAAGGATTAGATCCATTTCACAATAATGACACAGGAGAATTTTAAGGAACAATACTGAGCTGGTAACTGCCATGATAGCCTGTTTCATATTCATCTTTTATTTAATCAAAAGTATCATTATCTCTGAGGTCTGACTCTTACTGACCTTTAGTATCTTCTGTTTTCCACTTGACTTTCAGACTCAGCAAATTCTTCTAACAAGTGCAGGTCTCTATTGTTTGACACTAACATGCTCAAGCCTGCTTATCATAAATGTTTTAAAAAATAGAACAGTACATGACTGTTTTTCATTACTGTCATACTGAGTGGAGAAAAACAGCTTACTGTGGAAAAGAAAAAAAAAAATAGCCTCCATAAAGCATTTGAAAATTGACAATAACACAACCAGTATGCATTAATTGGCTCCCACTTAGTGAAGGAATGCAAGCTTCACCTGTGAAAGTTAATAGACATTCAGTTTCTGTCTGCAGCCTTTTAAAACCAGAAAAAGAGGAGGTAAGGAGTAGCCTGTCAGTTCCTATCTTTGAGCATTTGATTATTAATTTACAAGAAAATAGTACATTAAAAACACCATTAAGACAACCCAAAGCAGCATACTGATAGTTTAAAGAGGAAGTTCATGGTTCAGTAGGCTGCCAAAACCAATACAAGCGATTTAAACACAGTTTAATTTTCTTTCTCATAATTTTATTTGCTACTTATTGATCATCAAAGGTGTCTACTGAGGTCTGTGCCTGCTACCTTTATGGTTCATCCTACTCCTTATGCCAGAGATTCTGCAAATTGATTTGGAGACCTCACAGGACACTTGTTAGATAGTGCAATAACGACTTTCATAAAGGACTGTAACTCCACTGAAAGACTCAGTAGACAGAAAGTGAGACAGAAAACTGCAAAGGAAACAACTCTTATCCACATGCCTTTGAAATGGATAAATGAATAGAGAATATAGGCTAAGAATCACAGAATGGCTAGGGTTGGAAGGTACCTTAAAAGATTGTCTAGTTCCAACACCCCTGACATGGGCATGAACACCTCCCACTAGACCAGGTTGCTCAAAGATCCATCCAGCCTGCCCTTGAACACTTCCAGGGAGCCAGCAGCCACAACCTCCCTGGGCAACCTGTTGCAGTGTCTCACCACCCTCACACTAAATAATTTAATCCCAATGTCTAACCTATATCTACCTTCTTTCAGTTTAAAACTGTTACCCCTCATCCTATCACTACATGCCCTTGTAAACAGTCCCTCCCCAGCTTCCCTGTAGGCCCCTTCAGGTACTGGAAGGCTACTATAAGGCCTCCCTGGATCTTACTAGCAAAGTCAATTTTCTCATTGCAAGTGTTCTGTCCATTCAAATGTGGGCCCCTTGAAATGTTCGTAAGTTTTAACTACATCCACTTTCATTTGCTACTGCAGCATATTCTTCCCAGGAAAGCAATGAAGTTATTTTTCTGGAGTCTACTGCAGTATATGAAATACAGAACTAAAGCCAGAAAGGGTAAACCGGGGATTTCAAGACATTACCACCACCCTGTTCCTTGCAGAATGCCTGAATCACTTGACTAAAAGGCATTAAGAGGCAAATTTCTCTCTATTGGAGCTTTGCTCTTTGCATAAAATACCAGGTATTCCTGGGAATGGGACGGACAGGAGCAGGAAAATCTCTCTTGCAATCAACAAGAGTATCTTTACCATTACAATATGATGGTAAACCAGACAAACTGTACCACCTCTGCCTTGCTACAGCATCTGCTAGTTTTGGTTAAAATCCAACTCTTCATCTCCTTTGCTTCTTGTTTTGCTGTTTAAAATTACATTAACTGAAACGTATTTGTTTTCATGGGAAAAAGCAATATTTTCAATTTGTTTTGAGATGCCTTTTTTCCTAAATGCATAGAAACAAAATTAACTACTGGACACAGTAAGGTGCAACCTCACCAGTGCCAAATACTGAGGGACAACTACCTCCCTAGTCCTGCTGGCCACACTATTCCTGATGCAGGCCAGGATGCTATTGGTCTTCTTGGCCACCTGAGCACATTGCTGGCTCACATTCAGCTGGCTGTCAAGCAACCCCCTCCCAGGTCCTTTTCCTCTGAGCAGCTTTCCAGCCACTGTTCCCCAAGCCTGTAGTGTTGCATGGGGTTGTTGGGGCTCAAGTGCATGACCCAGCACTTGGCCTTGTTGAACTTCATACAGTTGGCCTTGGCCCATCAATCCAGCCTGTCCAGATCCCTCTGCAGAGTCTTCTTACCCTCAAGACAGATCAACACTCCTGCCAAACTTTGTGTCAGCTGGAAACTTTCTGAGGGTGCACTCAATTTCATAATCCAGGACCATATTAAAGGGATACTGCCCCCCAGCACCAAGCTGTGGGGAACACCAGCCACCAGCTGGGTTTAATCCATTTTCCACAACTCTGAGGGCTTGGCCAGCCAGCCAGTTATTTACCCAGTGATGTGTACACCAGCCTAAGCTATATTTAGCCAGTTTCTCTAGGAGGATGCTGTGGGAAACTGTGTTGAAGGCCTTACTAAGGTCTATGTAATCAACATCCACAGCCCTTCCCTCACCCACTAAACAGGTCTCCGTGTAGCATTTGGCATTTATATAGTATTGTATATATTTATTTATACATATTTTACACAGAAAAATATATAATAGAAAATATATAAACATGCATATATTCTTGTAAATATTTATTCTTCTATATTATAATATATTCATATATAGTATTTAGAGCTATCAACCTGCCATTACAGTCAAAGTAATTGTTGAACGGAAGTAATTTCACCATTTCTGCAAATCTTGTTTGAAAATAAAATTAAACATATTTAAAGGGTTTTCTTCTTTTCTGTGGTAGGGTGACAGAAAAAAAACAAACAAAAGTCCAATATGGTCATCATAAAAAGCAAGAGGTTTAAACTGAACATGAAAAAAATGCTGTCAAATGCAAAGAAACAAGTGAAAACGGAGCAGGGTATGTGGTGGGCTGCAAACCCTTCATGTTATCTCAGTTACATATCATACAACATTTAAATGTTAAGTGCAGACCAAATAAAACTTTCAAAGAGAACTAACAATTTTAAAATTTGTGCTTTTTCTTTACAATGTTCTCATCCTTGTTGTATTTCATTGTTCTGAAGTCCACTGAGCTTTTGTAATTGTAAGCTTCAGGACTACATCTTTGTATCTGCTTAGAGCAGATACTTGCAGACAGAGCTAGGACACTGTAAGTCTGTGGATTTCAAGATTAAAGACTGGGATCTCACTAGCTGGATGTATGTCTGACAGAGAAAGAAGTTAGGCAAAATACAATTCTCTAATCCACATGAAAATAGTTCCTGCAGACATGACTTTGAGAACTTCCAGAGCACCTGTGGTTTGAATCAAGATCTTGAAAGTATACCACAAGAAAGCAGCTGTCTTGTCTGAGGTTAAAAAATAAAGAGTGGTTTGAACATGTTGAGTTGATACTAGAACCAGGCAGTCAATCAGCAGTTCCTTCTGCACTCTGCATACTTAAGCAAGTGCTCCTTTTGACTGCTTTATGCTATTCGTATCAAAGTGTACAAGGAAAAAGTGCAAAAAGACTCTCTTCTTTGTGTGGTTTCAGCCTTTTAGTGCTCCCACTGCTAGAGGCAAACAAAAAGATGAATTTTATCTATTATGCTGAGATGCCTTTGAGAATAAGTAAATCTCCTTTATGCTGTTTCTCGAGATCTGCAGGCAGAATGCAAGTTTTCTGCTCATCAATACTTCATCCTTTACAGTGAAAGGACATGTCAAGGTCTCTTTCATCAACGCATCTAGACCGCATTGTGACACCTTTGAATTGCACTACTTGTTTAGAGATAGAACATAAAACTTCAGAAAAACGTGTATCAGTGGTGTTGCTAGAAACAACTGAATAGCTCTCTTGTCTGATGTGACAGAGTTACACCTCTGATTTTGTGAAACCAATTTTATTTTGGCTGGCACAAATACAGGCAGGTGGGCCTGTCCCCATATGGGCTGATGACTTGGATTTTGTCCCAGGAAAGAAGGCATATCTTATGGAAAACTGACTCAGGGAAAAGTAGGAAAGATTTTTATAAGTCTGAGCTTCCCTGTGATCAATCAGGAGATCATATCCTATCAACATTCACTGAATGCTGAGCACATCTGGCTTCTGGATATGTAATGTATAAATTTGTAGCCTATATTTTCAGCCCAGTGACAAGTATCTTGGTCACTATTTGGAATTAGAACTATCAATTGGTTTAAGAAAGCTATCCACTGTGAATTACTCTTCCATACCACGAGTGTGTATTTTATCAGCAGACCGAAAACCAACAAAAAAGCCAATGGTGAGTAAACATGCCTGACTTCCCCTGACTGAAGTATACAAATGAAAATTAAACCATTTTTCTTTCTTTTTTGTCTACTCAGTCACACCAGAAGCTGCTGCCTCCTAAACTTGTATTTACAAGGGTTTAGAATTATGTAGGTATGAGGGTAGAGTTATGTAGGTACAAGGGTAGAGTTATGTAGAGTTATGCAGGTTATGTAATGAACATTCTTTCCACAGTCAGAAAGTTACCTATGTAAGTCACGAACAAAAGGATTTAAAAAAAATAATAAAAAATTAAATTCCAGTTCTGACTTTATGCAAGTTAGTGGGAAAGATTAAACTCACCTGCAGGAAATTTTTGTGCGATCGGCCACCATAGTCCACTGCTGCTGATTTGTTGAAACCTCAATGTAGTAGCTGTAGCTCCGGTCATCACAGTCCCAAAGTAGCAAC